TGGTGACGTGTGTATATATTCATTGTTGAATGCAACTGTAAAATGAACTGATGCATTGCAAACATTTTTAAACTACGTACAACACACAACTTTTAAAGGGCAAAGTAAAGCCCTTCTACCTAAAAATCTAAAATGGAAAAAGTAAAGTTGCAGGCATTTTGAATCAAATTAGATGAAAATAACGATTACTTTCTGTAAGGAATAATGATTTACAGTAATATGGGGCCAGATAGGGGTTCAAAGCTTTACATTTTATTTGGTTGATGTAGTGGAATGGATGTGCTAGCTACACTTTTATTCCCTTTTGTTCGTGTTTCCGTATGGCCCCGTTCGTTTACCGAATCAACTCTGTGTGGTCCCCTTGTTCGCACCTTTTAATTATCAACCTCGCCTGGCTGTTAACCACAAATTGATCCTTCGTACAAGTGCTTTCCCTGTGTGGCCACCGTTGTATAACCAAACGCACATGTGCAAACAATTGGCGGACATCTTTTTTCCTGAACGCGGGCAGCAGTACAGGGTCATCAACAGCATGGGACTAATTTTAGATACCCAACCCTGCGAACACCTGGTAAACTGGTACCGTTGTCCATCCAACTTTCCAAACAGTTATGAGAACAGCGTTCGGGAGGCATAAACTACTGAACATGAGGAGCATTCATATCTTTACAGCTAGGGGGAGCATTCGCCAGTGTTCATGTGAGAACCCCTGCAAGATGACCTGTCATTGCCTTGTTTTCTCTGGAACTGTTTTGGGGCATCACCTTGTGACTGACCAGTGAAAACTTCATTTGAATGGCATTCCCAAACCACCGAAGGGATCTGAGTGATATTTCGTCAAAGTGTGACACCCAAAGGGGTGGATCATTTTGTGGAGTAATAATGGCAACATGGGTGTCTGTTCCCTCATCACACTGTATTTCTCCGTTGGCATAGCCATCTGTCTTATTCCTGTGTTTTGTGGGGGTATTTATACATTTTAGGGTCATATTTCTCCAGCAATGAGACCCGATAATGTTAGCTACTGCTGAAAAAACTTCAAATTCCAGTAAACGCAAAATAGATATGAACCCATATGTTTAGTAAGAGTTGAACGATCCATTCTAATGCGTCAAATTTCATCCCTAATGAGAATATACAGGTTTTAGATGCTCCTGTTTTCTGATATCAAGTAAATGGCATGGTAGACCTTTGGCCTTCTAGTCTTACTTCTGTCCCTTTGCTTAACAGCAGTAACACTGGACATAACAGCATTAGCATGTTGGGAACCATCTCTTCCATCAACAGAGGCTGCCAGAAACCTGACTTCACATTGCGGCATCGGGCAGAGGGATGGCGTAGTGGCCATCTTGATTGTGCCACATGTACTTGCTGTGTCAGGGTAAATAACAACCTCTGAAATTGCAGTAGCTGTATCTGGTGAGGCCAGGGATAACTCCTACCAGTCCAGGAGGTGGGGTGGGAAAACAGGGCAGTAGCTGCAGTTTGTGCGAGCGCCAGCAGCTCCAGACCGGGAGATCGGGCGCCTCTCCCTACTGTGGAGCATCTCAGGCGCATAAGCCGTAATGCTTTTCCGGATCACAAACTGTCAGTTTAGGATTCAAACTTGCTCACTAGAGCTCCACAACACACTGGAACAGGTGAGTATTCAGTTTAGAATATTTTGAGGTGAGAGTCCCACCAGATAATCCAGTTTTTGTCAATGCATGTGGAGCTCCCATACAGCACATCTGATTTTTTTTATATATATATTTTTTAATTCTTTATTTTATTTGTGCATGAATTAAGAGTTAGGTCAGTAGCGCCACAATAGCGATGAGTGACCATACATTAACAATTGGTAACATGACATTAGAACTACTATGCACATTTTTGAAAAAGTAAAGGTAACAAACATGTTGAAGCAAGATGCGTCAGTGGCTATGAATGCGTGGTGTGTGCTGGAAGTTTGCAGTTTAGTTTAACACTGAGTAGTTAAAGATATTAAGGTAGCATGTGAGGACCTTGGTAGAGACATGAGTAGGCTAGTGCGCGTGGGTCACTGCAGTTAGCTTAGCGATAGTAATGTCAGGTGTATGCTCTGGGTGTGCTTATAGTGGGCTAGGAAAGACCCGAGCAGATCTGTGCATGTGGGATTTTGTAGCTTGTTTAATATTTTTTAACGGAACAAATTGTTTATTTTTTTTGCATGTTATAGATTAAAAATATTTATTTAACTGTATCTAGCATGCCGCCAGGACTGAGCATCATTTATTTATGGTGCTGGTGAGTATATTGTCACTTTGTAAATATAATAACCTGCTTGGTGTAATGAAAATGGTAACTTACTCGAATGCTTAAGAAAGCATTAATCCTGACCATGTAAATTGTGATGGTATATTGTCACCTTCTAATAGAGAAGCATATTTATGGTGATGATACTACTGCCAAGATTTTATTTTATTTTTATTCTGTTGAAAGCAATTTTAAAGAACTGATACTAAACTCCTCTGCTCCAGCTCCAAAATGAGAGTACAGTAGAGTTCAATATTTAGTGTTTGTGCACAATTTATTGATCCAATTTAAATGCAATTTCATGCTCAAGGTTGGATACTAATTGGCTAATGTCGAGGGCTGAAATTGTTCATTTCACTTTTAATTGTTTCCAATCTTCTACTTTTCAGAGTTTCTCGTGATTAATGCCAGAGCTTTCCAGAAGACAACATGTTTAAGTTAAAAATGCTAGGAAATATTTGTATTTCTTATGCCAGCTTCAAGCAATAAAATATAATTTAATTTTTGGAGAAATCATTACTACATCATGTAATAAAGTTAATCCTTCCACTCATCTATCATTTTTTTTTTCCTAAGGGTATCGAGACAGACTGATTTTATGAATGCCTCTCATCATGTGCAGTATGCAGTTGCCAGTTTAACCCTATTTTCCTAAATTCGCTCCCATTATTCCCTTGAGCTATGTAATAAGATCGGGTTTGACAAAGTATTCAATTTGCTAGAACACAGATTTATGAATGAAAGAGCTGAATTGTCAGAAGGTGGACATCAGTCATAGATTCGTCAAAGTATAGTATTCATATTAACAAAACCTTATGAAAATTATGTTAATCAAGGAAAGATGATTTAACAATAATACATACTGTCTCTTCTATAATGTAATGAGCTCTAACATCAATGAACAACTATAAATAGCTTTGTTTGTGTACGCAGAACCAAGGATTTGTGTCATAAAGTCAATCAAACAATTTGCATACTAATGGACTACCGATGTTTAAAAGCACGACGCAATAGAAACATTACTTTTATTGACAATGCAAACATTTTCCCTTTAACATCAATATTATATTACAGTCTACAGTATTCTGTGAAGTATCATCATTGTACCAGAGGATAAAAGAAAGTAAGAAAATAAAAATAAGCACAAACAGCAAACATTTTAATTTAAAATCTATCCAGCTATCTTGAGAATCTTTTTTTCTTGTTCTTGCTGAACAACACAACTATATTTTATTTCAGTACCTTACATGGCTTATTTTTTGCAGGTACCTTCATCACCTAGAATGGATGATGAGTTATCCATTCCACAACGTAGAAAACATAGTATTTGATACCTTAAATCAGTAAATCCTGGACTGGTTTGGGAACCACTGCCTTAAATGCAAAGGGCATTGGAAAAAAATGTGGACAAAACAGTTTTGTGAAACACTACTGTCCAGGGACACCATAAAAAATATGTAAAAACATTTGTTATAACTATCCGATGCGGTTTTCCCATTTCTCAGATAAATGGGTAAAACAGACATATTCAATAATAAAATTACTAATTATTATTAAAGCATTAATATCGTAAAACATTATAAACCACAGATTCTAGTAAATCTAATAAACTATCTAAATAGAGTTATTATTTTAGATCTTTTTGATAAAACCGCATTCAAAATTACTTTATATCAGTGAATTCAATACAATATTTTAATTAAGATTTAAACAAAAAAACAGCTAAGAGGTCTCCTATATTCCTCTGTTTTCTTTATCCAATTATTCCAAAATACTGTGTTTGTGAATCTTTTGACAAAGTAATTATCAATACCCCTCTTCATCTTCAATTTGTGAATAACTTGTGATCTTAGTATGTAGCGGATTGCATTAAGGCTGTCCTCAAGAATTCGTATTAAAAATGTATTTGTGTAATTGTTTCCCTGTATAGCGGTAAGTGTATGTAGCTTTCTTATGATTGTTCGGTAGTTTTCATATGAATGAAACTACCGAACCATCAGACCACCCCAGTGAGAAGTGTGCACCTCGTTAAGCGTTCACCCTCTGTAAACCGCAGCTTAATTGATATATTGTATGGGCCTGTGTGGTCGCCGTTCGGCATACGAACCACGTGCCGCGGCCATCTTACACAAGAAAATCTCAGCGGTGTTTGGTCATCGAGTGTCTGGAACTCAAATCGGACACTCAAATACCCGAACACCGCTGAGACCTCCAGAGCTCCATAACTCCCGAACGGAGGGACCAGTCAGCCCCTCGTTCGGTAAAATAAATGTACCGAACAAGGGAATACATGCGAATATAAGATTAGCTCTGGATGGCAAGGATTACTGTATGTTTTAACTACCGAACGGAGACTGACCGCAAGGCCAAAACACATGGAGCCTTTTTCGGATACCACCTCGTGTGCAGTCAGTCAAATTGCACCTTCCACTTAACTCCCGAACCCCTGGTGAATTTTGAATATGTTAGTCACCCAGATCAGGGCTACCAGGGGGTACCCAAAGTATTATTCTAACTGCTTGTTTTGGGGTACATCCAGAATTTGGGGAAAGCTACAGTATGTTTAATGGGATTATGTGTCACACTGAGGGGAGGAAATGTGTTACATTATTGGCTACTGTACTAATTATTGTGAATACCTCCCTTGCATGGGAGAATGCTTTAAACGAAGGTTGAGTGAGTAAAAGTTTAGTTCTGCTCCTGATGCTGTGTGTCGTCCAGTCATTGGGATCTGTATGGGGATATTCGTGGATTACCTTACTTGCTGTGATTATTATTCTATGGTATTTTATTACTTGTTCCTGAGCCCCACTGGGATCTTTAGTGGAGTTAACCTGTGAAAGACCAGCTCTCCGCTACATTGGTTGGCAGCGCTGGGATCCAGACTCACAGAGGAACAAGTACCAATGGAGTACGAATGGAGATTGATTATTCTAAGCTAAAACACTCCACGCTAAAAGACCTCCTGGAAGCAAGGGGTATTCAAGCCAGCAATAAAACTAAAGCTGTTCTCATCGCTGAAGTCATGGCGGAATACTGAACAGATGGCGGTTCGGTTCCCGAACAAAGTGATTCGGCAGAAGGACAAGAACAAATGGAGTTCCAAAGGCAGCTGCAATTTAGGTTGTCCTTTTATGGGGAGAATCCACCTGCTGAGATCATCTCCAGGACAATGACAGATGTCCAGGAGTTTGTACTGAGGCAAAGGATAACGGCAACACCAGAATGCAGCTCAACAGTAACCATGGTACAAGAGGGTAAGCCTAAAATACCTTACCAAGCATTTAAAATGTATGTAGAGGCAGAGGAAGACAGATGCATTCCTCCAGGATTTTGAAAGATTGTGTGCCTTACATAAAATCAGCGCAGAAGATCGGGTCCCCATTTTACCTGGGCGACTAACCAGGAGAGCAGCAGAGGCTTACTGTCACGTATTCATCCGCTTACAAAAATGTGGTTAATGACATTTACTGTCCACACAGGAAAAGTTGTGCCGAGCAACAACCAAATCCACAGAAGGGTTAATGCTGAGCAGCAATTATGCAAATGAGATCTGGTAACTGCCTTTGGGGTCAAAGGCCGGTTACAGCCTATCAGACCTAGAGGAGGCCCAGTTCTCATCCTGCTCAGTGCCCTGTCGTGGTTTCCCTTGTGGTTGTCCGAGAGCGTGTTATTGATTCTGGTTATTCTGGTTATTTGACTTTGGCATTGTTTTTGACTTCCCTGTTTTCTGGCATCCCTGACTCCTGGCTTGTCCTTATCGTTGTGTCTCTTTCTGTTTCCCTTGACCTCGGCTATTCCTGACTATTCTTTGGTACGTTAGTCCGGCCATTCTAAGGTCGGGTATACGTTACCTATCAGTCCTCTGTGTTACACAGTTCTACGTGCTGGATCATTCTGTAATCCTGACACTTACCATACTGTACCCGAAGAAATTCATGACTACAGTCAGGTAAAGGAAATTATATTGGCTCGGTATGCCATCACCCCAGAGGCATACCGAAGGCGGTTCAGGGAACTAAAGAAAGCGGGAAAAGATTCACATGCGGAATGGGCTTGTAGACTACAGCGGGCGGCCCTCGGATGGGTACAGGCTAACAGAGCATGGTCCATGGAGGACATATTACAAATGTTGCTGTTGGAACAATTTTACGATGGGGTACCAACAGATGTCCAGGAATGGGTTAGGGACCGCAACCCTACATCCTTCACGGAGGGGGGGTCAAGCTACCCCACCAACACTACAGCAACACCCTGACAACTACCAACCTCTGCCCAACCGAGGTTCCGTCAGCCTAGCTCTGTGCAATGTCACCACTGCCAGAGGTGGGGACACTACAAGCGAGAATGTCACCAACTCCGAGACCGATCCACCTGGATCCAACCAGGACCACTACCACCACCGAGAGCAGCAGCCCACTATTACCAGGACGAGATTACGACACCCTATGGCTCAGCAGTTCCAATCACCATCGTGTAACAGTTTGAAGTGCTGCACGAAGCAGATCCCTTACAGGCAAATGCAGACAACTGCCAGCATCACAGACAAACCGTCTACCTGGAGGGCAAAGCTGTGCAAGGACTCCGCGACTCAGGAGCCACTATAACTCTGGTCAAAAGCCACCTAGTATCTGACAAAGCCAAGACCAGCAAGACTGTAGCCGTCAGGGGAGCCAGGGGAGCAGTATACCGGCTACCTACAGCAAGGGTTCACCTACATTGGGGAGCGGGGTCAGGGAATGTGCAAGTGGGTTGATGCCGCAACTCCCCGCGGAAGTTTTGCTGGGGAATGATCTGGGGAGGCTCACTTTTGCTTTTGAGCCCCAGGCCCCAACCACAGGAGCAGCACATCGCGTAGTCACGAGAAAACAGGCCCGCACCCAGGACCACAGCACACTACCAGAGGTTCAGGTAAGAGATCCTTCACCTTCCTTATACTGTGTCCCCTGGGCCCCCCCTAACGAATTTGCAGCAGAGGTGATAACTGACCCTACTTTACAAATATATAGGGACAAGGTCACAGCTGACCAACCCGGGGGGGAGGGCGAGAGATTTATCTGGGACAAACAGATAGCCGGGTCCGACCCAATTGTTATCAGGCAGCTAGTGGTACCGCAGCGGTACCGAGCGGAGTTGCTCCGGATAGCGCACGATATTTCTCTATCCGGACATTTAGGGGTCAGTCGCACCAGGTACCGACTGACCCAAAGTTTCTTTTGGCCAGGAATCAGCCAGGAGGTCCGCAAGTATTGCAGTACTTGCGATACATGCCAGAGGGTAGGGAAACGGGGAGACAGGCAGAAGGCAAAACTGCACCCGCTACCCATAATTGAAGAACATTTTAGCAGAATAGCAGTGGATTTAATAGGCCCACTCCGGAAACCTAGCCTTTCTGGCAAGAAATATATTTTAACTGTTGTAGACTATGCCACTAAATATCCAGAGGCGGTGGCTCTGACCAATATCCACGTTGAAACGGTGGCCGAGGCCCTCATGCAGATTTTCTCCCGGGTGGGGTTACCCAGGGAGATCATCTCGGATCAGGGTACTCAATTTACTGCGGAGGTCACCCAGCACCTCTGGAAGTTCTGTGACATTAAGCATATCATCAGTGCCCCTTACCATCCCCAGACCAATGGGCTCGGTGAACGGTTCAATGGTACATTGAAACAAATGCTCCGAACCTTCGCTGAGACCCACAGGGACTGGGAACGATTCCTGCCCCACCTCCTCTTCACTTACCAGGAGGTGCTACAGGAGTCGACCGGGTTCTCCCCATTCGAATTGTTATTTGGGGGGAGAGTAAGAGGGCCTCTAGATCTTATTAGAGAACATTGGGAGGGAGACCGGAGCGCAGATGGCACCCCCATCACTTCGAGACCGCCTAGAAGCATTGACTAGGACAGTAAAGGAAAACCTTCAGGCAGCTCAGACCCACCGGCGCACATGGTATGATCAGGACGCCAGGGACCGTAACTTCCAGGTTGGGCAGAAAGTTTTAATTTTAAAACCTGTCCGACATGATAAGTTACAGGCCGCCTGGCAGGGTCCTTATAGAGTGGTGGAACAGAGATGTGACACCACTTATATAATTGGCCCCTGCGCAGGAACTGGGGGGCGACGCATGCTCCATGTGAACATGATGAAGCCCTACCAGGAACGTTCAGAGGAGCGCTATCTCTGACGAGTTTGACAGCCTTCCCCTCCCAGCCATGCTGGGGGGCGGTCAGTTGTCTGGGGATGACCAGACAACATACAGCATCAGGAGCAGAACTAAACTTTTACTCACTCAACCTTCTTTTAAAGCATTCTCCCATGCAAGGGAGGGATTCCCAATAATTGGCACAGTAGCCAATAATGTAACAGTTACCTCCCACACATCTCCTCCCCTCAGTGTGACACATAATCCCGTTAAACATACTGTAGCTTTCCCCGAATTCTGGATGTACCCCAAAACAGGCAGTTAGAATAATACTTGGTAGCCCTGATCTGGGTGACTAACATATTCAAAATTCACCCAGATCGGACCAGGGGTTCGTGAGTTAGGTGGAAGGTGCAATTTGACCGACCGCACACGAGGTGGTATCCGTAAAAGGCTCCATGTGTTTTGGCCTTGCGGTCAGTCTCCGTTCGGTAGTTAAAACATACAGTAATCCTTGCCATCCACAGCTAATCTTATATTCGCATGTATTCCCTTGTTCGGTACATTTATTTTACCGAACGAGGGGCTGACTGGTCCCTCCGTTCGGGAGTTATGGAGCTCTGGAGGTCTCAGCGGTGTTCGGGTATTTGAATGTCCGATTTAAGTTCCAGACACTCGACGACCAAACACAGCTGAGATTTTCTTGCGTAAGATGGCCGCCGCACGTGGTTCGTATGCCGTACGGCGACCACACAGGCACATACAATATATTAATTAAGCTGCGGTTTACAGAGGGTGAACGCTTAACGAGGTGCACACTTCTCACTGGGGTGGTCTGATGGTTCGGTAGTTTCATCTGATAAAAACTACTGAACAATCATAAGAAAGCTACATACACTTACCGCTATACAGGGAAACAATTACACAAATACATTTTTAATACGAATTCTTGAGGACAGCCTTAATGCAATCCGCTACACTGCTCTCCTTTGCCCACAAGCCGGCATACACAGTCTGATCCAACATAGATCGGCTTGGGGATGTCCGGGGTGCTCACGGATCATTTCTCCAAGTCTGTTTGTCTCAACAACCCGTCAGCATTTCCATTTTGTTTGCCTGGGCGGTACTGAATGTTAAAGTCAAAGGGCTGCAGCGCCAAACTCCAGCGCAGCAGCCTGGCATTGCCCCAGCCACCCGGTTTAGCCATACTAACGGGTTGTGAACCGTGAGCAAGGAAAATGGCTGACCATATAAATATGGTTGTAACTTCTTTAGGGCCCACACCACAGCCAGGCATTCCTTCTCGATGGCGGCGTAGCTTACTTCTCTGGGTAACAACTTGCGACTGATGTAAGCCAATGTTGTTCTCTGCCATCGGCCCCTAATTGGCTCAGTACTGCCCCCAATCCAAAATAGAAGTGTCTGTGTGGACAAGAAAACGTTTAGTTGGATTGGGTGCTGCCAAGACAGGGGCATTGATAAGTGCATTTTTCAGATGTTGGAATGCCTGCTCACACTCCGGGATCCAGGTTACTTGGCGGGGAAGGTTCTTACGGGTAAGGTCGTTAAGGGGTTTGGCCAGGGTGCTATAATTGGGAACAAACTTCCTATAATACCCTGCCGTCCCGAGAAACGCTAATACCTGCGTCTTAGTCCTAGGGGTGGGCCATTGGGCTACGGCCTCTATTTTGGCTGGTTCTGGTTTTTGTTTCCCACAGCCCACTCGATGTCCCAGGTATTGTACCTCGGCCATCCCTATACTACATTTGGCTGGTTTCAATGTCAAACCGGCCTCCCTAATTCTGTCTAGAACCGCTCCTATATGGGCCAAGTGCTCCTTCCAGGTATTGCTGAAGATGGCAATATCATCTAGGTATGCGCAGGTGTAGTCCTGGATCCCATCTAGGAGTCGGTCCACCATCTGCTGGAAGGTAACCGGGGCGTTTTTCATCACAAACGGCATGACCTTAAATTGGTACAAGCCGAATGGGGTGACAAAGGCTGACTTAGGGATGGCGTCCGGGGCCAAGGGAATCTGCCAATACCCCTTACACAAGTCAATAATAGTGAGGTATTGGCCTCTGGCCATCCGGTCTAGCAGTTTGTCTATCCTGGGCATAGGATAACCGTCGGACACTGTCTTCTCGTTCAACCTCCGGTAGTTCACCCAGAAGCAGGTTGTACCATCCCGCTTAGGTACGAGGACTACTGGGGAAGCCCAGGGGCTGTCAGATGGCTCAATCACCCCCAATTTGAGCATCTCATCGATCTCCATGCGCATATTCTCCCGCACCGCTTCGGGGATGCGGTAGGGGGTCTGGCGCATGGGT